CAAAAAAAAAAAAAAAAAAATATGTAACAAAAAAAAATAAAAAATAATAAGAACCTTGAGACGAGATCAGTATCAGAGATCCCCAGCATCCTGATAGCAAGCAACGCTGCATTGGTTGAGTTGTTTATAGCAACTGTGGCTACAGGAACACCCCTAGGCATCTTTTGTAACCAAAAAATAATGTAAATGGTTTGCATAATTGAACTGTCTGAAAGTGAATCACGAAGCTAATGGGTGCAGCGTACCTGAACGATGGAGAGAAGTGAATCAACTCCATCCAAACGGGTAGCACGTACAGGGACACCAATCACAGGCAAAGGAGTGAGTGAAGCAACCATACCTAATTTTCAAAAACAAAGAAAAAGCCACACACATGTTTCAGAGAAGCTAGTGTTTTTTTGTAGGGACAAGATTGAGTTTCATGTTTCAGACATACCTGGTAAGTGAGCAGCACCACCAGCACCTGCAATTATCACTTGGACGCCTCTGCTATGAGCTGAGGTTGCATATGAAAACATCATCTCTGGTGTGCGATGAGCTGAAACTATCTTCACCTGTAAACCAATGTTGACTCATACCATTCGAGATTTGCTAAAGCAATGATTAATGTCAAGTCCAAGATTTTTAACCTCATATGTAACACCAAACATGTCAAGAATTTTTGCAGCATCTTTCATAACAGGAAGATCCGAGTCTGAGCCCATGATGATACCAACACGAGGTGTCTCTGCAATGTGTAAAACAACATGCAACGAAAATTCATTAACGTTGAAGACATTTGTAAAGTAAAATCCAATGGTTCAAGATTAACTAAAATATACTAATATAGAAATTAGAAACTGACCCTGTACTTGATGGCTTTGTTCATTTAATATACAATTCAACCTTTGTTCCAAAACACCAACAGACTTCCCTACAAGAGTGATGTGGCCCATCTTCCGCTGCTTTCTCATTTCTGACAAGAATTTTTCATCATACACAAGCTATGTAAGTAACTATACAGTTCCCAAAAACTCATAACGAGATAACAGTAAGAGAACATGAATCTAACCTGGTTTGTCATACCAATGCACGGATGCACCTGGAACACTCAGAGCTCTTGCAATGAGCTGGTGAGCCAATCTGAAACCAGCTTCACCCTGAAACATCAATATTTGAACTTATAAGATAAAAGACACTTCAGAAAAAAATAAAGTAAAGCAGAAACATCCATTACATCATCTTCGCCCAGAATATTGTACATGATGGAGGCAGGAGTCCTCATAGACGGATCACCGAGTGGAAGACCAACCACAGCTCGCAAGTGTTGTTCAAACTGTGAAGTATAGCAAGACTCGATCGTTTGATGGCCACTGTTGTGTGGTCTTGGTGCAACTTCATTTAGCAGGATCTGAGAGGGATTAAAACTCTGGTAAGTACAAAAAAAAAAATCGACGAGCCTAAAAATGCATGACAATACCTGACCATCCTCTGTTAAGAATAGCTCAACAGCAAAAACCCCAGCGCCTTCTAAAGAACCAACAGCCTTTTGAGCAACATCAGTGGCAAGTTTGTTGATCTTCCAAGGCACATCTGCTGGTGCTTTAACTATATGGCATATGTTATCCCTAGAGTTCATTTCCATAAGGTCTATTAGTAGAGAAGGAAACAACCATATCTTTTTCAATCTTGTAAATCACATTAAGTCAGAGTTGTTGTGTTACCTGTGAACAGTTTCAACAACGGGATAAGGAACCATGGAAGCATCTCTTCCCCTAGCCACAATAACAGCCAACTCCTAAAGTTTTATATGTAAATGATTATCAACATCAGATGCAAATAACTAAAGCAAAAGAAATTTTTATCATCACTTTACCTTGACAAAGGGTGCCCATTTCTCAACGTACAAACCACGACTGAAACCTCCAAGAGCTGGATAAAAAGAGAATCGAAGAAAAGGTTACTTACATGTTGTTTGTGACATTGTACCACACTAAACTGGTTGAAACCTTTTTACATATTGTTTAGCTAAGGAATTACCTGTTACAGCAGAGGAAAGCTCGTCTTGGCTATTGGCAACTGCATTTCCGCGTCCATCATAAGCCAAACGCTTGCTCTTGATCATAAGAGGGTAGCCAAAAAGTTCACCTGCTCTTTCCGCTCCGTCCATATCGCTTATCTATCACGTCAAGGCTTAGGGGTAAAGCTATTTAACAAACTCCTCGGTTTTATGGAAAACAAAACATAAAGGAAGGGCTAACCTCCATAAACTCCGGAAGTGGGATGCCATGCTGAGAGAAATGAACTTTTTGCATGTATTTATCCTGAAACATCAGACAACCTCATATAAATCACATTGCCTTGATCACACTTGAGGAAACATTTGAGAGGTTAGGAAAAAACCTGTATGATCCTGATAGTAGAGGCTTTTGGTTGACAATCTACTCCTTGTTTCTCAAGCTTCTCTAGTGTTTCCACGTCAACATGTTCAATTTCCACGGTCAAGACTCCACATCTAATTATGACAATAAAACAAAATCACATATCAATACTGTTACTGAATGGAGAACCTAACGCATTTAAGCAGCAGAACAAAAGAAGGGAGCAACCTTTTAGCAAACTCTTCAACTGTAGAACTGTGGTCAAAGCTATCAACCATGTGGGCATAAGCTAATGAACTTGCTGAACAATTCTTTGAAGGATCCAGAATTATAACTTTGATAGCCATTTGAGAAGCAGCTTGGCAAAGCATACGGCCTAATTGTCCACCTCCCAACACTCCCACAATTAACTCAGAAACTCCATGGACATGTTTATCTTCTTCATTATCTCTTTCAACGAGAAAACATAAACAACATTAGAAAGAAAAAGAAAAAAAAAACAGTTCCTTCTACAAGTAAAGAGAATTTTTTTTTCATTTCCTCAGATTGATACATGCAAAGATAGTTTGGTTATGTTAGCTGACTATAATCACATTAGCAAAGAAAGAAACAAGAAAAAGACTTGAGAAGATGTGACACCATTATACTCCAAACACATATAACATTTTGCAACCCAAGAATGCAGGGGACACATAAAGGTACCTGATAGAAGAAGCCTGGTGAGAGCTACATGCTAACACCGGGCTGAGTTTCTCAGAGGAAGAAGAATTAAAACCCTTGTGCAGATTCGCTATGGTGAAACTCTGCGTTTTGTTAACTGGAAGAGATCCAACTCCGTAAGTGAAGCGAGGAGTGTAAAGGACAGGACTTTGATTCCCAGAGACAAGAACAGAAGCTGAGCTCTGTCTCAGAAGCAACATCTAGAACAGGTTCGATTTTTTATTGAGAACTGAAACTCAGGTTCTTTTTGAGGATAGCAACAACAAAGGCAGTTCAAAGACGGAGCAGAGAGAGAAGGGTTTTTGGAAAAAGAGTGGGTTTTTTTCAGGTACAATTCGGTTTAGAGAGTACCATTACTAATTTATCGGTTCACCATATTTACCGGTCTGATTAATTATTTAATAACCGAACCGGATATGATTTGTGTTTCTTGGGCTGAGTAATTACCGCCTGCTAAATGAAACAAAACTCTACTCCGAACCCAAAATAAAAACACACTGAATTATTGTTAATCCATCCAAGTATTTGAATAAATCCTATAAAATATACCTGAAAATCCGAATTAATATTCAAACACACACACTCAATCTTTATTATATATGTTCAAAGTTTAGAGCTTTCTTTCCAGGATTGTAATGGGTTGATAGGTCTATAAACTTGGAATCACAAAAGTATTATCCTCTGTACACGTAATTGAACGCATAAATGTTTGCTTAAGCTTGTGTATATATCTGTGTTTATGTATATGTACAGTCTCTAGTAGAATTATATATCTGTGAGTTGGTAGTTCTAGGCTTAATTAAATCACAACATTAGCCAACATTAGAAACACATGCATGCAGCCAAATCTCGGCTTCGTATAAGACAGAAAATATATAAGCGACATTTTTGTTGGTTTTTTTTTTTTTTTGATAAAGCTATGACATTTTTGTTGTTGCTTGTATATAGCACGTAAGAGGAAACCTACTTACAAAAACCCAACCGTACTTAGTGTTGAGAATCTCAACATCTTTAACATTGAGTTGTTTCGTATCTATATCGAAAGGAAAGATTTGTTCAACAAAATAAATTATATAAAAACGATAGAAACTGAAAAAGCAGTAATTAATCTGTAGATTATGTAAATGTTTCCCACACGTATTATGCTAAGACTGATAGAATATGAATAATTTCATTCAAGAAAATAGATAATAGTATGAAGAAGCTAATGATGATGATGACCACCACCCGAGGAGGCACTGTGATCATGATGATATGTGAAACTGCTGGCATGATGATGATGATGGTAACCACCTAGGCTTTGACCATGATGATGATGATGATGCTTGTGGTGACCAGTTCCAGCAGCATCAGTGGCAGAAGCTGTGGAAACCATGAGACCTGAAACATCGTGTGTAGCCGCTTGACCCTTTTCCAAGTCACTGGAACCGGTCAGATTACTATCCTCATTTGATTCAAGGCAAAGACTAGTGCCGACACACACGATAACAAGAAGCACTTCAGCAGCCACAGCAATAATAACTATAAGTACATCTAAGTCGTCTTGATTCATCTTAAATTGTTATTATTTTATCTTCGCTTAACAGATTCTGAGAAGGGAAGATTGTTTAGAGAAGAATGTTGGTGCTTTGTTACGCTTTCTATAGAATCATGTATTTATATTCGGTGATTTTGAGGTCGGCTTCACAAAAAAAACTAAAGTCTAACAGCATTATGAAAACAAATTCAAGTGGGAAGAGGAACTTAATCAGAAAATACGAAACAGTTTGTTTATCAATCCCTTTTGAAATCAAAGAAATTGTTATTCCATACACGAGCATCATAGGGGTATCCCTTGAAAAATTGCAATGGCGGAATCTCATCTTACAAATATTCCTATGTTCATTATGAAAAGAAAAGGATTGATTTACTACATATATCATCCATTCATCTTTTCTCTTAATCTGTGGTAGCGTTGCAGCTTCAGGAAGCAAAATTAAAAGCACTTGACCTGGCCAGCTGGCCTCAAAGCCTGAAGGAACATGCGCTCCAACAAAGGCTTGAAGGTGCTTTTCGCTCAAGTAACCACTCGGTTCTGATCTTCTGCTTAGTGTTCTTGCAGCAGAGTCCTAGGATTAGACACTGTAGATAACCTGGCTTATGATATATCTCAAGGGGTCTTGCCTGAGATTCTAAGTAACATCAAAGAGCCTTTGAAATATATTTAGAGATCATCAAAACTAGCAAATAGCAATGAGGGACCACAACTAATAACTAGGAGCTCAGTCTCCAAGCTGAAGAATTTTCCAGAAATAGTATAGCAGATATAAAGGAGTAAAACATCTTATTTCAATGTAGCATTGGTCCTCGTGTGTGTACATTGGAGACGTAAAAACCTCCTTTCAAAACCATATTTTCTCTAAGCTTCCTCTTATACGTGTTACAATCTAAGACAAAGTTAACTCTGCTAGCAATATACAAACTCTCTCATCATCCCTAGCTACAAGAATAACGTTAGGAGAACCACCTAGCTGAGTATGTCATGAAATGTGACTAAAACTTACATAAAAATGTGATTCTTTGGACGCAACACTCTAGTCTTTCCATCTGCAAAAGAGATTTACACAGTCTCAGTACAATGTCTCAAAAGAAGCATATGATATTTACAAGGCAGTGTGGATATGAATCCGAGATGTACCTTTAGAAAAATTAAAGAGATGGTCCCTCTTATGCTACCACAAGGTCAAGCCTTGGACTCTGGTTTCCAAACAGAAAGAGCCATGACGGTTCTTCCTTTCCAGCCTTGCAATAGCCACCGGTTATCTTGATCAACCACAAAGTCCTTGTGGTAGAATGTGTTGACCTTATGCAGTGATGTCTTCATAATGTCTGGGTCAAATGGGACTTGAACCAACCCTGACCTCATAGCTCTGACATGCCACTGTTTATACGTCTCAGGCCTCTCCACTCTCTCCCAACCTTCACAGGCAATCACATTCAACGCCTCTCTCCCAAAGACCTCCGTCTCAAGGAACATCCTCTCTTCGTCTTCCCGTGGCACAATCGTCTCAAGCATGTCGAAAATCGATGAGAAATGAAAGAGAGCCTCTCGAAACCGTGTCACGAAGAACGGGGCGTTGTATGCACCATTCACAATGCCAAAGACGAAAAGATCAGGATTGATCTTCCCTATCAAACTCAGAACAGCGTCCCTACAGCTTTCTACTTTGACTGACTCGTCATGCAAATTCTCAGCTCTGTACAGACAATTAACAACAGTGATCTCATCCCTGTCTATATCAAGATCTTCAAGCTGAACAGCATCCCACTTCTTAGCAATGGCTTTATACTCAAACGGCACACCAAACTGTTTAGCATACGCTGCTAACCTCTGACCAGTCTCTTCAACCCTCTGCGCCGGTCGAAACCCGGGCTGAGGAAACTCAATCCCGGTGACCCGAACCTTCGGTTTCCCATAAATCGAAAACCGGTGAATAAGAGTAGGCCATTGGAAACCATAGAGTATACCAAAGTCAATAACATGAACTCTAGGAGAGTTCCCAACAAGATCTCTTATAGTCTTATTGGTAATGAAATAAGAAAGCTTCCTAAAAGGGCAACACGCAAGGAAAAGCTGGTGAGCCTTGAGCACAGCAGCAGCAGACCTCGGTTTACTCACAATCCCTTTATAAATCTGGCTCCCTGTACCGGCCAACCTCGCCTCAAGACCATTAGCGAAACAATGAGCCAGCCTCTGGTTCCCATCACCAAACGGCGTAGAATGCTGGCGTATCTGCTTCAACAACTGTCCTGCACATCTACTGTCATCAGCTGCAACAGCTTGTGCACAATGTATCAAAAGACTCCTCAAATCCACAACTTCTTTCTTCACTCCTCCTCCTCCTCCTCCACGGCCTCTCCCTCTTCCTCTAGCTCGTCTCTTCCCTTCTTGAGGCGCTGAGGCTTTCTTCTTCTCCACTCCTTTCTTCAGAACTTCACGCAACGCGTCGAACTCCTTCATGCTCTCTTCACCTGGGACATGAACCAAGATCTTATCCACAACATCAGACCTTAAAATCGTTTCTGAAAACACTGCAGGTAGCTTGCAACACCTCTCTTCTTCCCCGCCGCGGTGGTTAGGGTTTCTCCTACTCCCTTTCTCTCCGAAACTCACAACCACCTCGTTCCTCTCCCTATCTTCTTCAACCCCACGCCTAAACAGCCACACAGACTGATCATCCCTATTTGATTCACGTACACCGTAAGGAGACTGAGGAACGCTAAGAACCGGCGAGCGATTCTGAGGATTACTAAAATCCAACGTGAAGCCACTACTAAGAGGCTTGATTCCACCGCCGGAGAAGCCGTTACGATCTCCGGCGGCGGGAACGACATGATCAAGACTCTCGCAGGGGGAGCTGCGTTCGGGAGAGGGAGGATACTTCTTACCGATGGCTTCGTAGAGAGATCTCTCGGCGGCCTCGAGATCGAGAGACTCCTGGAGCATACAGACTCGATCGTCCATGTCTTCCTCCATCAGAATCTGGCTGATGTAGCCTAAAACGGCGTCGGAGAAATCGAACTCATCGGCGGGATCTTCCTCTGATGACGTCACGAAGGCGTTTTGGTTGTTGTAGTTGTAACCGTCGAAGAGAGTTAGGGGGGAGGATTGATCGGGGAAACGGGTCCGATCAACCGGGGCTGGGTCGGTAATCATTTTGGATTGTTGTTGAGTTTTTGAGAGAGTTAAGTTTGAATCAGGTGAAGAGGTGGTGGTGATGACTAAGGAAGGAAGAAGAGGACGAAGAGAGTAGTAGAGCGTGGAGGGGACCAGAAGAGAAAAAGAGGAATCGAATAATATGCATTTTGTTTTTTTTTTAATATTTTTATTACTATGTTTATTTAGCAAAAAATTTCATTTTGACAGTTTTCACATGTATTAATAAATTGAAATGTCTTTATATTATATATATATATATATATAACTAATAGTATAAAAGTTAATACTTAAATAAATGTATTTATAAAAACAATGTACTTTGTATTTAATATTAAACTAGGTGTTGTGCCCGCATATGCGGGCATTTTTGTCACGGATATTTATCATTTTTTGTTTTATTAATTCTAAATAATATTATAAATTATTTTTTATAGTTTTAAAAAATCTAAATCAAACAGTAATACAATTTTATATGAATTTTCATCAGAATCTATATGTTTATTATAGTGTTGAAAAATATCCACATAATAAAATATTTTTGAAAATATATTTATATTTTTTTAATATTTAATTTTCAATTTTTTTTATAACTTACAATTTTATTTTTCATAATAAAAATATTTTTTCTAGATAACTGTATAATATTCTATAAGATATCTTATGTTTTAAATATGCATGATTGTGAATAATTATCCTACTAATTTATAATAAATTAACTAATATAATAACATATAAAATTTCAGTCACTAACATAAAATTCATTTTAACTAATTTATATATAAATATATAAATTTCATTAAAGGTATCATTTAAATCTAAATATTTTTAATTAATCTAATATTTATAACCGAATTTATTAATCTTTTATATTGCATAGATTTTTTAATTTTTTCATTGCATAATATCTAATATTTGATTATATAATTCAAAGTATCTTTATACAAATGTTTTTCTTTGATTAATATTTAATTAAAATCAATTTTTTATTTTTATTTTTAAATTTTATAATAGAATGATATTATTTTCAAAAGCCAAAATAAATTATATATAAAATTAAAATATATAGGCATTATCATGTTGATAATAATAACATATATAAGAATTTTCTTTTTTTTAACTTATTATATTAATTATTCTCAGTTATCTAAGATAATAACATACTTATTTAATTTTATTTTTTAAATTTGATTTTTAATTATAAAATTAGTTATATATAAAATTTTCATTAAGGATAAAATAGAAATTCGTTTTAACTAATTTATATATAAATATATAAATTTCATTAAAGGTAACATTTAAGTCTAAATATTTTTAATTAATCTAATATTTATAATCGAATTTATTAATCTTTTAGATTGCATAGATTTTTTAATTTTTCCATTGCAAAATATCTAATATTTGATTATATAATTCAAAGTATCTTTATACAAATGTTTTTGTTTGATTAATATTTAATTAAAATCAATTTTTTATTTTTATTTTTAAATTTATAATATAATGATATTATTTTCAAAAGCCAAAATAAATTATATATAAATTAAGATATATAGGCATTATCATGTTGTTACATTATTATATTCAGATAATAATAACATATATAAGAATTATCTCTTTTTTAAAAAACTTATTATATCAATTATTCTCCGTTATCTAAGATAATAACATACTTATCTAATTTTATTTTTTTTTAATTTCGTTTTTAATTATAAAATTAGTTATATATAAAATTTTCCTTAAAGGTAAAATAGATATTAACCACTTTAACTTTTAACGTGAGAGCTCCGTTGCAAAAAATCATTTCGCAAATAATAGTATAGATTATACTTATATGAATATTTTAAATATTTTGTTGTCCAGCGGATAAATATCAAATTGAAATTCTGTCTACAAAAAAATATAAAATACAAAAATTATTATAAATTAAATGTGAAACCAACTATTCTATTTGTAATATAAAAATTTAGTCTGATAATCATATTTATCTATTCAAGAAAATCATCGATGTTTAAAAAAAAACAAATTGAGTTAATATGGATTACTCAAAAGTACTAAAGATAAAACTTAATTTGAGTATTTATTATATTTCTCATATTTATATTAATTATTTTAATTTTTCATGTAGCTATAAAATTATGTTGATGAAATAACAAATTAAATATAGAAAAAAATTATTAATTTACATTAAAAAGAAAAGAAATAACATTTTCTATAGAAGAACTAGCAATGAAATTGATCTAATTAAATTATTCATAAATCTACTTTAATTTAGTAAATTGATTTGTACTTATATTTAAGTCGGTTTGAATTGTTTTAATTGAATTTAAGAAAATTATTTTAGTGCCAAATTTTTAGAATATTATACTTATAGTATACTTAATTTAGTTACATCTCACTGAACCATATTATTAAAATCAACTTCTAAACACATCTTCAACCATACACCAAATTTAGTCTTGATATTATAGCAAATTTAGTATTTTAATAATCTCCAACCATGACACCAAACACTACACCAAAAATAATATTATATATTGTTTAATATTTTTACTATTAATAATTTTATTATTTGTAATTAATAAATAATTATTGACAAATAATTATTTTATCAGTCTTAGATATTATAATTGTTAACTTTTTGTAATTTAAGTTAATAAATATTTATACGTTTATATTTTTTTGTTTAATAACATTATACTTTCTGTATTTATTTTATATATAATATTATATTAAAAAGTACAAACTATTAATTATTAGAATCACATAACAAAATAATATATTTATTTAATAAAATTTGTATTAGCTAATAATACAAGTTTATTTATATTATAAACTAAAAACTAAAAAAAATTATTTTAGTGTTAGTTAATTTGATAGTATAGATAAAGTTTAATTATTTACTATTAAATCTAACTTTACAATGTAATATTATGAATTATTAATTACTAATTAATATAACTTAAATAAATTATAATTGATATTTTAAAATAAAAATATATTGCAATATAAGATAAATGATAACAATCATTTAATGATTTTTATTTGAAAATAAAATAAAAGTATTATGATTATGTACAAATAATATAGTATATTTATATGTGGTTACAACTTTAAACTAATTAATAATAATTACTATATTATATTATTGAATGAAACATAATGAAATATGTACATTAAATATTTAGTGTGGTGAATAGTTTACACCAATTTTTTTGCTGTAACATTATTCACTTTACACTAAATTAATGGGCCAATATAATTTTTAGTGTTTTATTGGAGATGAAATCACATCAAATTTAGTGTTTTGATGTTCTATTGAAATTGGCATGTTTTAAGTTTGTAAGATCATCTCCAATGGTACACTATTTCTCCTCTATAATTTACACTAAAATAAAGTAATTTTATTATATTTTAAATTTTTCTTCGATGATTTAATTTATAATAGAGTAACTCTATTATATAATGAAATATAGAGTATGTCATTATTTCATTCCAAATATAGAGTAAAAAAGTGACATTCCTCTATATTTCATTTTTTAATAAAATAACTCTATTATAAAGTAAACTATTAGAACAAAATTTACATTATAATAGAGTTATTCTATTTTAATATAATTATATATAAAAGAAATCTATACTATTATTTGCGAAGTGATTTTTCGCAACAGAGCTCTCACGTTAAACGTTAGAGTGGTTAATATCGATTATACCCTTAATAAATTTTATATAATTTATTATATAAATTAAAACAAATTTATAATAATAATATTAGATTTATATGTTATATTAGATTATTAATTATAAATTAATATGATAATTTTAAAAATAAATACATATTGCAAAAATAAGATAATTCTTATAGATATGGTGTTTTTATCTTGAAATAATATTTCTATTACAAAAATTTAAAATTTGATTATGATAATTGCCAAAATTAATACATATTACAAAAAGATAATTTTAATAGATATTGTGTTGTTATCTGAAAATAATATTACTTTACTACAAAATTAAAAATATAAATATAAAACAATCTAAATTAAATATTAGTTAATCTATAACATTTGTATAATGATATTTTCTGAAATATTTTGAATATGTGGGTTTTTAATTTAAATTTTAACCTAAAATATGTGGGCATTATATATATTTATATAAAAATGTTATCATATATAAATAATTTGATTTATACTTTTTGAGAACATAAATAATATTTATTTTTGAGAAAGCATAACTAATTATTTATCATGTTGATTAATATTGGTAAGAATATTATGCCCGCATGGTGGGCACAACACCTAGTAGTGTGCTATTGGAAGAAGTGACTGCGGAATCGGAATAAATGCACGTTTATGTCTTTAAATTAAAAGGTTTTGTTCCGAGGTAGGGTAAATGAATCGTAGCCGCTGATCTTTAAATCTTTGATAAAGAGGTTTTTTTGTGGGGACCTGTCGTCGTGCTTCATTTGACATTAGCGAAAATGTGCTTTATTTATCGGTTAGTTGATTGCCACGTGTCGTCATTACAGTAGTTAAAGCTTCCAACTTTCCTTTTTAAATTGCACTTAGTACATTTATTTAAAATCACAGTACACATTTAGTGGGATTTTTAAAAGGTTTTCCCCAACTACGATGTACGAAAGTTTAAAACTTTTAAGTTATAGTATCAGTACTAGTATCTTTTAGGAATTCTAAACCTTAAATGTGAACAAAAATCTATAAAATTAAATTGCTTTCTTAATTAGGATAATGCTAATGAGGAGCCTACACAACGGCCATATACCACTTCTTTTCCAACTTAATATTTGATTAGGTCAAAATAGGGTCATCAATCATCTTATATTTAGTGTTTTTAACGATGGTGTATGCAATGCCATCAACTTTTGACCGTTTTCGTCTTTATGATATGATTTCATTATTTCAACATACTTAGGCAGGGGTAACCCTAGCCTAAAGCTTACAAAATATCAGTTTTATATGTCAACTTTTATGTTAAAGTTTTTAGGCCTAATCTTGAAAAATATAGTGGCTTACGGACG